AAACGTAACTCTGTGAATGAATGAAAGCAGCAATACAACTGTCAGATTCTAAAAAGAGCTGTGTCCACTATTTTAACCTTAGTCTCAAACCCCAAAGAGATTAAGGTAATTTGAAAAATACAAAAATTAGTATTCATTGGCTTATTTGTTAATATGAACTGGTATTAAGCACATAGAAGCTACGTAGTATTTGCTGAGGTGTTTGATTGGATAAAACGTTATTAAGCTCTCAGGTCACACTTAGTCAAAGATCACTTGATATTTTTGCAGGAAATAAGCTTAAGTTTGCATTCAGAAATACAGATGAAAATCGTGTAACAGCAGGCCATGTGATACAGCTGTTACAATCAAACATGTGGCTAAATGAGGGAAAAGATTTTTTAATATGTGTAAACCTATTTGCAAATCGTTGGAGGTCCTAATTTTTCAATTATATCAACTGATTAAAGAACATTTGCATTGCATATGCAGATTATCTAGAGTATTTGATCAGTTGTAATCATCAATTGCCATTGTGTCTACTGAGGTTTTTTTTTTTTTAAGAATATCACGTATTTACAGATGAGAGGTACATGGATTGAGGTCATTTGAAAATAATTCAGTATTTTTGGAAGTAGACCACTGACTTCAGTTGAGCTTCAAACTGTTGTATCTTTTCTCTCTCTTCTATAAGATTTATCTATTTTCATCGGAAAGGCAGATCAGAAAATTAGAGATAAAAGGAGAGACAAAGATCTTCCATGTGCTGCATGTTTTGATACATTAATCTCCTATAAAGGAGATTATGCTCTGATCCATAACAAGTTGCCTTTATATTATACCGAGTAAACTTACAAGTGGCATTTAAAACAACCTTACACACAATATTGAAGAATCTATTAATTGTATTTTTGAATGCCTTACCACTTTCTATTAAGTACCATTCTTTATGTGAAGAACTTTCAGTTATAGAGTGACAACATTTCTGTAATCATGTATATTCAATGGACAATGTTCAAAATAAATGTAGGCAAGAAAAGTACATGTATCTTACTCTGTGTCTTAGATTATTTTACACATTTTAAATAATTAAAATGTAGATATGCATATGGGTAGATCATTTCTTAACATATTTATGGTTCTCCTTCCTTTTTAAAGTCTTACATTAATGAGTCACAGCATCCATTCCCCTTCAGGTGGAACATATATTCTCATTTTGCAAATAAGGGCAGTTTCTGCTCTAGAGGGCCTCTATCTTGCAGACCAGATAAGAGCGGCTGGCATTGTGGTACAGCAGGTTTTGGCCCTGTGGGTTAAGCTGATCCCTGCAATGCTAGAAATCCTGTCTGAGTTCCCATTAGAGTGCTGGCTGCTCCTTTCCCACCCAGCTTGCTGCTAATTCACCTGGGAAAGCAGATCTTCCAAAAACTTTGAAGACCGGAATGGGATTTCTGGTTGTTGGCTTGATTTGGCACAACCCTAATCATTGAAGTTACTTGAGTTTGATCCATGGAAGATGTTTCTCTCCTCTCTCTGAAACTGTCTTTCATATAATATAAATCTTGTTTTTTTTTTAGATACAATCATAGCAGATAATGAATAATTATTTTATAAACCTTGTTCACAATGAAAAACAATTCACTTATGCATTTTAAAGATCAACTCCTTCAGTAAATTTTAATTTGCAGAAGTCTCATAAAACATTAAAGTTATAGGAACTCAATGACTTTAGTGAGCAAAGAGTATTAGCATAGTTACACAGGCTCTTGATTATTTATTTGAAACTAATGTAATGTATTTGCAATAACTTTTTAGCAACAGAATTTTTATTTCATTCATAATATCACATAGTTATGATCTTAAACCAGAATGCTATGGCATGTTTCTTTGATTTTTAGATACTTCAATTCTGAAAAAAATTCAAAAAATTTTGCAAGTGATGTTTCACAGTAATATACAGAAGAAATCATATGGCTTTCAATTAATTCTGATATTCTAAATTAAGTACCTATTATATTAAACATTTTAAACACTTAACTACAATTGAAATTCAACAATATAAAGGTGATGAATGCATCTAATGCAATGAGTCCATATGCACAAGCTGAAGCATTTTAAACAAACAACATCCCTCATTGGTAAAAATCAATGAAATTAAATATGTAAGGGGTTTTTTATATGTTTCATTCTCTCACTGAAACTTGTCATAACCTTTTTGAAAAATCCTTAGTTAATTAATTTTTAAAGCATGTAAAAATTGCTTATAAATATCTGTTTACTGTGGTCATTAGTTGACGCCATAATCACCAGTGTTTAGAACATTTTGTATTTCAGATGAAGAACCATTCATCTTATAGTGAAGTGGAAGATATTTCATTCACTCTTTACTGGAATCACAGTATCTGTTTCAGAAGTGCTTAAAATTTTGCTTCTTCCTATTTAGCACGTTTGAATATTTTATTCTTTGGTTATATTAATCCCATGTTGTAACTTTTGTACTTGGAATTAATAAATAGTAATCAAGGCTATCTTTCAGAAAATACTTGATCCATATTTAAAAGTAAAAATGCTAAAATTCAATATATTCCTATGCCAAATACATTTAGAAAAAAAAATCTGTAATTATACAATTGAACAATCTCTAATAAACTGTATTTAATAACAACAGGTTATTTAGTAAATAAGACAAATGTAAATAGACTTCATAACTTCTGGTTCAACTAAGAAGTTTTTTCCTACTTAAAATTAATGTTTCGTTAAGGAATAATTCTTTTCATGTTAATACTAGCTAAAAATTACATCTTTTACTTATTTCGCACATATTAAGATTGCAGAATGCCTTCCATACATAATTAATAAGATATTCAGCCCGTCATATCTTAGTAAAGAAAACCAAGAAAAGTTAAACCCTTAGAGGTATATAAACACAGCAAGCTCATACCACAAGATATCATAGACATGAACACGTATTTTAAATATCAGATATTTCTATATTTCTAAATACATTTCAGGCATTTCTAAATATCTGTATTTCATCTTACAAGGATTCTATTCAATTAAATTTGATTTCACATAAAGTTTCAACAATTCAGCGTTTGTATTTTTGCTTAATAGACAGAATTATGCTTCTCTGAAACCAGTTTCAAATACCTGTGGCATTAGTTTGGGGATATGATGATGACCTTGGACCATTCCTCAGAATCATAGGGAAATCTCATAACCTAGAGACCAGCATTGTTAGCCACCTGGTAAGATAAGTGGTGAAAGTCTAAATTTTCAGTTATCTACCATTACTAAATTTGCTCAGACCCAGGTTGAAATGTCTAAATGGAAACAAGAACCACTGATGAGCTTTTGCTAACTACTTATTATTAGGAATCTTCAGAACTCTAACTTTTGGGCTTCAGCCAGTTACGACTTTGGAACAGCTGAAATCTAAGAAGTAGCAGTACTGAATGAACACCCAAGCCTCCTGAAAGAATCCCTGGAATTGAGCTGCACCTTTTACTGCTACTGAACAGAGCAGAGGAATGGTCTACACACATGTGGAGCTTCACTGCCAGAGTCCACACCCAAGCTGACTCATCTAAGTGAATAAACTAGCGGGGTCGTGACCACCCTCCGCTGGCAGAGCTACAGCCTTTGTGCTTCAGACGAACCAGGGGAATCGGCTTCGCTAGAGCACACTCCTTCATCACAGTGCTTATATCCCAATTAAGTCTTACCTACACAGGCAACTATGTACTTAATCCAATTAATGTAGGTAGCGGTCACTAATAGAATTATTTGTAATTCCATCATCAACACTAAAATTCAAGTTCCTGCAGAGGTCAATTCTATTTTATTTTCATGTTATCAGCACCAAACCATGTAACCAGTACATAGTAAGTCCTCAATAAATATTTAGTGAATGGAAGTTGAATAAAGGTACCACAGTTACATCTGGCACATCTGCTGCATTAATCCTTTGGAAGTGTGGAAATAATGTTAACAAAAACCGCAAAAAGGAACCATCACCAGGTAGATAAAAAATTGCCATGATAGGATCTCATTGATACTGGAATGAGCATAGCTATTGTATCATAACTAAACATCTTTGAACATCCATCACTGAGCAAAAAATACCTTTGTAAGCCTATGAATGGAAAACTATTTCATTCATTAGAGTGATAAATTCCTATTGCCATCAACAGTCAAAACCAAGGAAAAAAGTAATTTAGTTCAGAAGAAAATTATTTTTAAAAATGACTGTGTTTTTCTGTTCTACAGTTGAAACTTTCAACTATTTAGGTTACCTTTGTATAGCTACAAAGTATTTGAAATTTTTCTAGTCATTGGTGTTCAACTAATTAATATAACTTAAAGTGTATCCAAGATCACTGCTACTATTTCAAAAAATGATTTTCCAATAAAACTTGAGTGTGTGAAGTTTACGTTAAAGGATTTTTGTTCAAGCAAAAATGTGTTCACTTCTTTAACAATATAAAAAAACTACACTTACATTGGCATACAACACTAAGACTGACACCTGAAGGACTTTGAAATCTGCAAACTTTTCCATCATGACAAAAATCAGAAAATATTATTTACTATGTGCCCCTTTAAATTTTATTCTGTTTTCTAAAGCATTCCTCAAATTAAAGAGAGGGGCATCTTGAGAGTTGAATTAAGTACATTGGACATATTTTATAGACAATAGATATGATCAGGGCCATTATAATCAGAGAATAAGGCATACATATGAATTTTTAGCACAACTGCACACTTTCACACAAAAATAAAGCTCGATTAAGTCATCAGAAGTCTGCATACACAAAGCACAAAATACAGTTTAGTAAATATTTCACTTGCTCATGTTATTTCAAGTTAGTTCTTACATGCAACTGCTAAAGCATCTAGTTTGAATCAAGTGTCAGAATTTACTTGCCCTACAACAAATGCATCCAAAACTTTTTTCAACTTCCTAATATTACATATTTTACAGAGAAAAAGAAAGATAAATTATTAATTTTTAAAATTACCCAGCAATTCCATTGCATCATCTTCATTATCAATATCTTCCTCTGTTACAGATGGAGTGGGGCTGTGGAGGGACTCAAAAGAATCTTGAGAGAGCATTGCTGCTAGAAGTTTCTTATGCTGCTGTTGCTGCTGCTTTAACCCTTTAGTCTTAGGCTCCATCTTTAAGCTACGGACATATTTAAAATGCTAATTAGCTTCAGGAAGCAGAGAAAAATCCATGTACTATTTTCAGTTATTTGTTATGCAAAGTAATACACAAACCAGTACATGTTTTAATGTTTTGGCTGCAGCACTTTTCATCCAGCTCTCTGCTTATGGCGTGGGAAAGCAGCAGAGTATGCCCCAACTCCTTGGAATCTGTATCCACATGGAAGACCTGAAGATGCTCCTGGCTTCCAGCTTCCCATAGGCTCAGTTCTGGTCATTGCAGCCATTTGGGGAGTGAAACAATTGTTGGGGGAATTTTTCTCTCTGACTCTCTTTCTCTCTGAAAATCTGATCTGCCATTCCAATAAAACACAAAGTAATATAAATCTTTTTTAAAAAAATTTTAAAAGGAGCTACAATGTCTAGATTACTATTCCTTCATTAAAAAAAAAAACCTCCATGTAGGAAAAACACATGGAACAACATAAATCCTTTAATATTCTATTCTAAGACATTTTGGAAAAGCTTTCTTAAATTTCTTTTGCAGGTGTATAAATAGTTGTCCCAGCATCACTTACTGAGAAATTTATTCTCTTTCCTAGCAAATTATCTTGCCCTGGGTAGTGATTTAAATTTGTCCATTCTTACACGTTTTAGTGACTTATTTTGTGTTACAAATTACAGTTTTGATGGTATCATCACAGTCAATACATATTTGTACTGCTATCAACATTTACCACCTTCCCTTCCGAATGTTTCAGGTTTTCTACTTCTAAATACATATGACTTTGAGTTTCAGATAGTGTCATTTTTGTTGGACTTGTCAATCATCAATTATAACATTCATGAGGCAAAGCTATCATACAAAATAGGTGCTCATGAAGTTCATGAAAAGCATGTATTATACGAAATCTTAATAGATTTCAAATGTTCTGCACAAAATAAGCTTATCCTCTAGTCTCACTTTCCATGATTTAAAAAAAAATTGTCTTTAATTTGTTATTATAATTTATTTGAAAGGCAAATGGGGTGAGGAACACAGTGGAGAAGAGATCTTCCATCTACTGGTTCAGTCTTCAAAAGACTGGTCAGAGTCAGGAGCCCAACCTTCCTAAGAGTCCCCAGTGTGAGTGGCAAGAACTAAAGTACTGCGCACACCATCCGCTGCTCTCCAGGATGCCCACTAGCTGTAAGCTCAATCCACAGTGGAAGAGATGGCACTTGCGTATGAAATGTAGGCATCCAAAGTGGCAACTCAACCGATGCACAAACAACTGATCCTTCAATGTATTTTTAAGGTACTCTGATATTCTCATATTTCAGTTATTTCTCTCTCTTTTTTTTCTATCATGATGTACTATGTCTCTTTCATCATTTCCTTTCTGTCTGAAGAGCTACCTGCAGGAATCCTTTTAAGGGTATATCCCATAGCAACCCTTCCTACCAGTTTTTCCATTGTTTACAGATAACTTTGTTACCTCAACATTCAGGAAATATGGTTTTATTAAATATGGAATTTATGATTACCATGAATTTCCTGCTGACACTTCCTTCTGGCTTCTGAATTTTCAGATGAGAAATTCAGTTACTTTCAGTTAAGATTCCCCTGCAAATAATGTGTCATTTAAATAAGGCTGTTGTTAAAAAAATTTTTTTTATTAATATTAGTGTCCAGAAGTTTACTTACATAGCTTATCATGGAATTTCTTGGGTTTGTTTGGAGTTTTTCAACTTCTTAAACCTGTAGGGTATATCTTACACCAAATTTAAGAAGTTTTCAGCAGCTACTCTAAGTTCCACTCCATGGTAACTCTTTTCCTGGGACTCAAGCGATGAGACTGCCACATTAGCTTATTGTTCCTCCTAAGTCCTGAGGCTGTGTCATAATTTCTTTTACTCTGTTTGCTCACTTTTGTTCAGAATAGGAATATCCCACAATGGAGTCCTTACTAGGTATGGGTCTATGCCCTGCCAACGTCACTGTTAAGTTCATCCAGCGAGATTTATCTTTTTATATGTTCTCATTTTAATATTTTCCACTGGATTTTTTTTATGACTTTTTATTTACTTGATGGTAGTTTCTATGCTTGGTTACATGGGAATTGAAAGTACTTACTGGAACATATTTATGATTCCACTATCTGACTCACCTCCATGTTGGCTGCAACTGGCCACCTTTTATAATCCAAGCTGTGATTTTACTTGTTCTTGGAGTAATTTTACAATTAGAATTTTTTTTTAATCAAATGATGATAACTTCAGCTGCATTAGCTTTGGTTAGAAGGGACATATATTTGAATGAAAAATAAATAGAGCCAGTTTATAGTTATTTATCTCTTCCTTGGCTTCTTGATCTCAATGCAGATTGTAGCAATGAGTACTATATACAGTGGTTTGGCAATTCAAAAAGATTAGCAGCTGGAGAACAAGGGTCAGCATGGTGGCCCAGGTTGAATGCCACCTGCAATGGCCATGTCTCACATGGGCACTGGTTCATATCTCATCTGTCCCACTTTTGATTGGCTAATGGACTGGGAAAAGCCAAGGAAGTTGGCCCAAGTATCTGAGTCCCTGTCATCCATGTGGGAAACTTGGAAGAAGCTGTTGGTTTCTGGCTTCAGCCTGCCCCAGCACTGGCCTATGAGGCTATCTAGGGAGCGAGCCAGTGAATAGATGACTATCTCTACTTGTTCTCTCTCTCTTTCTATCTCTGAAACTCTAGTTTTCAAAATAAATAAAAATCTCAAAAATACATATTGTGTGAGAAATAGCTTTTTGTTCTTCCTGAATAAAGCCATTAACTCAATTTCCTGTTATAATTTGACATCCTATATATTAAACGTAACAAGGATAAGGATAAAGTATTACATTGTATAACATACTATACTTAAAATATATTTTCTGTTTTCATGTACAGTCATGACTGTTAGGCAAGTTTTTCCTTTAGGTATAAATAAAAATGCTCAATGTAATGCTCTTTGGAACACACTTTGTTTTTTGGAGCACATGTTTTACACAGATTCTGAAAATGACCACATACTATGGCCCAAAATACATATAAGTTGGTTGGAAAATAAATAGCTCATGCAGAAGTAATACACACTGTTGTATCTTGAAAATGGGTTCTTACTTGAAAACATATGCATGAGATACTTATTTTAACCTATAAAATACAATACAAATATTTTTAAAAGCCATCTACAATAAAAACACTCTAGTTACAAAAACGTACCTCTGTTCAAATTTAAACTTAGCACCTTATTTCAGGCTATTACTGTTTTAATAGGCTCTTTGGAGCTGAAGGCACTCCCTTACTCAACTACTATATTGTGTAACACCATAAGGAATGTTTGTTACTAAATTCATTATAAATCACAGTATAACTGAGTGGGATACGTAAAGAACACACCGTGTTAATATCAAGTTTTGTCCTCATGTGTTATTAAAAAATGAGTTTTCCAGTTTTGGGGGATTTTGAACATTTCATTTACAGATAAAGATGCTTATAGATCTTGAATGCTACCACAATGGCAAGTAACAGGTTAAAACTTAAAGTTGAAATTTGAAGATGGAGGTCAATTATTTTGAATGACCCTGGGTGACACTGCAGACATCATCTTGTAAAAATAGTGAGGATGGCTGTAGCAGATGGACGAAACACAAATTACTGCAAAAGGAGTGCAAAAAAGAGGGAGCAGTGAATCTAAGGCATCTACTGGGAACAGCTTAGTTTAGACAATGAAAGGCAGGGAGCAGAAATAACTGTGGACCAGAAAAAAATTTTTATCTTCTAGAGAAAAGTCCCACCACTACTTACATGCTGGTGGGGACGATCTGGGAGAGACAAACAGCACAGGGAAAAGAAAGAAATGATGGATTTGCAGCAGTGAGGAAAACTGGGGATCTAACATCAACTGGCAGAAGTCAGCAGAGTGTTTGTGCAAAGATGAGTCAAGGATCAACTGGTGTTCTTTGGAAGAAACTGGAGGAAGCTGTGTTCCCTCCCTGAAGCCTTTTTCTCTGTGAGGTTCTAGGTAGGATCATCAGTTAATAATGAGAATGGTGGGGTAGTGTTGGACACTTGAGGATACATAAAGTCAGTGCTGTGTAGAGTGGGTGTGTCAGTGAGCTAGGCAAAGGCAGTAGCTCGGTTGGCGGTTCCAGGTGTCCTGGAGTAGGGGAAGTTATGAATCAGAGCCAGTACACATGTGCTTTCTCCACCTCAGGACGATTATATCCTCTGCCAGGGTGTAGTTTCACCAGGGGAGGCAGTGACAATGAGAAAAGAGGGACAGGGGGGTTAAATGTAATACAAAGAGCCAGGTTAAATGATGGCTCAAGGATAAAAGCTGAATAAAGAGAAAATGAATCAGAGAAAAGAAGGGCAAGATAAATTCGGCAGCATTAGGGTGTCTGAGATCCCAGTTGAAGTTGGGAACCACTGGGAATGAGCCGCAAGTGGGGAAAAGTGATGGCTAGAGTATTGTGCTTGTATTTTATAAAATGTAATTACAGATAATGGTATTCAGATGGTATAGGATGAGACAGAATGAGGTAGGCTGGTATTGAATATCAGCGGGAAAAAGTAGGCAAAGAATGTAGCAGGTGAGGTTTGGGGAAGGGTCACCAACAATAACGATTTCACCAAAACAGAACAGTGTTGGGAAGAGTAATCGTGGCAAAGGTAAGGTGAATGGGAATTGGCAAATCATTGCCACCAGATTTGAAACAATGATCACTGTGGGAAAATATGAGGTTCAGAGTCAGGAATGTTTTAAGTAAGCATGGAGATAAGTTCTCTAAGCAGTAGACGAGGGTGACACATCCTTCTTTTCAGCCCCATAGCTTGAGGACCCCCCAAAATGAAACTGACAGCAGTAAAAGACAGTAGCACTAGAGCAGGAGGCACGGATCTTAAACAGAGTGTTTACCGAAAAAAGGAGGAGATACAGGAGGGATTAAGGACAGTTTTGGATCTGGCCATTTCTTCCTAAGGTTTGAACTTAAATCTCAATGACG